TTAGAAACAATGAGACATTTGAGGGTAAAATCAAACGAGTCAAACTTTCATTGAACTGAAATTAAGTACATATTCATGTGTCTATAGGGTGCAACAAATGACCGACGTGTTCCTTAAATTGTTGATTAGAATTACAACAGAATCATGCACAGAATCATGGTGAAGACATAACTGGATAAACAGAAAATTGGCAAGGTGTAAATGTTCCTTTCACGATTTATTTACACCAGGGAATTGCAAAAGCAGGAGAAAAAAAATCACCCACTGTAAAATAGCAAGCACTGCACCTGTCATACACCATAGCATCTATACCTTACATGTATGTTTGGAAGGATTTACTCTACAAATTCAATTCACAAAGGAGTTTGCAAATTTCAATTCTGGGAGAAAATGCAGTTTAGTTCACTTTTGAAGAGTAATCAATTATTTGGGGGTCAAATTTTTACTTTCATTATCCAGCTAAACTGATGCATGACTTCACACATACAAGTACATGTACTTGAACATGAGTACTTCCTCTCCTAAATCTCACAAGGGATTAGAATTCTCGGCATGGGAACTAAAACCTTTTGTAAACAGCAACTTCAAAATCCCCAATCCGCAACACCCAGAAATCCCTCACAAAAGCCAGACGAAAATGTGTGATGCTCCATTGTCACCTACCACTGCTGGTGGTAATGGTTTTCTTGGTAACAAACAAAAATACTGGAGCATGAATGCACAGTGAATGAAGCCTATTCTTATGAAACCATGACAGACTGACCCCACACCAAGACTGCCTGCAAATGCACGAACTCATGAATATTTCATGTTCTCTGCATCACCTTTATTAATTTACTTCAATCACACTAGGCGAGAGGTGAGCGACCACTTTCTTTCTTGTCCGATGCTGTGAGATGCAGTCATCACCATGGAAACACCAACAGACAAAAACTGAAGTCAGAATAGATTAACAGCTACATGTACACCGATATTTCTAGTACAGGAGCAAAGTTGCTACAAATATCAAACTACAGTTACATGTAATTACAAGTTACATGTAAATATCTCTCTTTTCCTTTTTTAGAATAGAGATTGAACAAACAAAAAAAGGTTTCTTTTACATAAAACTGAAGTTACTCACAAACCAGTGCATACATGTAGATGTAAATCAGACCATACATACCTTTTTCAATCAGCATTTCTGGCTTACCTTCAACTTTCGACTGCCTTCAAGTCCAGAAGAATTTCTTCAGTCCAGACAAGTGTGGCTCAAAATGATTTATTCCAATGCAAGAGCACTTGAATGTTTTCATCACCACTTTGAAGGAAATACATACTCATGTGTACATGTACATCTATCAACTGGCCAAGGGGACTAGAGAAATTGGACTACACAACTCCAAACTGATGCAATTGTGAAGTCAGGTTTCAACATGTACTGAAAAAGGAAACCTACAGATGAAGACCTTGAGGCAATAGGAGAGGGGGAGAGTACCAGTATGCACCGGTACTCATCATCCTGCCTGAATTGTATGCGAGCAAAACTTTCTGAAATTTCCAGAAGCCAAAGACAAGGCCATGAGGAATAAGTATCACACAAGTTTAAACTCCCAGTTGGAAAGAAAAAAACACCCACAACATACCGGTAACAGGTTACTTGTAAATAGTCTTTGTAAATTAAACTTTATTTACAAAGTACATGTAAGTCAATAATATACAGGAATTTATACATGTTCCTGTATAACTGAAGTACATGTACATACTGGTAAATACAGGTTAAAAAATCACACAAAATTGACCTGAACCTGTAAAAATACTAACTGTGTATGGACCGCACATGTACCGCTATCTCCAACTTGTAAGACTACTTTAGAAATTGTGAGGTTAATAATGTTGGAAGCAAGATCATTACATGGTACTCTTGGAGGATTTTTTATTCCTCAGTGGTGATTCAAAGCTCTGTATTAATGAGCTTGCTTATCACTTAACTACAAGTAATCATTTGGGTAAATATCCATGGCCTGGGTAGTCTAGGGCACACTGATAGTGGGATTTTTCTTCAGAAAAAAAAAAATTGCAATTCAGTTCATCCACGGCATTTTCACCAAATACATGTACATGTGGAGTTGTTTTTTTAATTTAACAAAGACTTTGAAAGAGATAGTCTTTATACAAGATTTTCAGAACTGTGACACATCAGGCTGATGGTTGTGTGAGTGTGTGTGGCATAATAAACTATGTCCTGTCTCTGGCTACTCTGCAATGGCACTGCACCATCACCACCATATGGAACCGTACCGAGAGAGAAAGCCAGACAGCACGGAAAGACAACACTGGACAAGCACATACATGTACAATAAATCACGTGCAAGAACGCTGCCTGGGAATGAACTACTGCAGCACTCATAAGAGCACTCTGATATGTTGCCTTGAGCAAGACTAATGTGGGCATGGCCTTTTATAAGATGCCATTCAGGAATGCTCAACAGTAACCAACAAGATCTCACGCCAATGTTCTGTTCCTATTGTTGTACCAATCAGGTTTCTGCCTGTTACCCATAAAGCTGATCTAAATGTTACCGGTATATCAAGGCCCTGGTTGGCATCAGGATAGCATCTTGAGTAACACCCTGAGGCACTACCCTGGAGGAGTGCCCAAAGGGCACAGTGACCAATATACATGTATAGTGTACATGAAGTCGCATTTCCTAATGCGAACACCAAGGATGCCAACGCCAAGAATGCACTCGCAATATTATTAACATCGATTGACCGAGATACGGCTTCATCAATGACAGGAAATTGGACTGCATTTTCAACCCTCTCTGCTAAAGCACTCAGTACTTGGAATCCACAAGGCAAAGTAAAGTGGCCTCATAAGAACAAGATCCTACACAGAATTACATAAACATGTGTACCGGTGCAAACCGGTACACATGTACATGGTCTTCACTTGCTAAATGGCATAATAGACATTCTAAGATTTGTTGTGTTCTCTGGTACCGGTACCGCTATGTCCCAAGCTACATGTAATGCTGGTACTCCCCCCCCCAGCTTGGTTCCAGAGCCTGCCAACCTTGCTAGGCAATCTCAGGTACTCCATCCAATGGTCCCTACATGTAGTTGTAATTGACCAAGTCAGACGGTAGGGGCACCTGACTGGTCAAAGTGACCAATCAGGCCAATCAATTTGTTTTTCCTTCTGTTATTAATTAATACATGATCACATACATATTCATGGTCTTTTATATAGAGAACAATGGAATTTGACCGGTGTTATCGAACCAGACCAACATCTACATGTACCTGTGTCCAGGTCTTACATTAAAATGTGCAAACAATGGCTAGCAGACAGCGGTCAGTAAACTGGGCAAGTTCCAACATTCTTTAACTTTGTGTTGTGTCCTACTCCCTTAAATCTAGCTTGAGGTTCTACCGGTATCCTATACATGTATGTAGCTTTTATTAACAGCTGTCCGAATAGATTTTAAAAATTATAGGGAAGAGCAGACCTTCCCAACAGATTTAGCAAGAATTGTATTACAGATCCTGTCTGCACTTTTATAAAAGAAAAACTACATCTACAAACTACATGTACCGTTAATCTACCGGTAGCTACAGATATTGCAATGGATCATTTGGTTTTGACCAAAGATCGTATAGCGCTGAAGGCGCAAGATGGATAACTCTGCCCAAATGATGTAATTACCATGGGCACCATTTGAGCAAGCGATATGCCTGCGCAGTTTACGGTAATGCTTGGGCACTTGCTCACCAGGTGCACGTGCCTGCTACAGCGCCTGCGCCTTTGCATTAATGTGCATTGCGCAGGCGTATCGTTGGCTCAAATGGCGCCTATGAGATTACAACATTTTACGTGTATTCATGGTGAAGTTCGCCATCTTGTGCAGCTATGCAGCGCTATACGATCTTTGGTTTTGACAGCTATCGGTATGAAATGATCGCAAATAAAAAAGACTTAGTTAGTCAAGAGTTTTGATAAACTATCATTCTTCACGGGTTTTTGACAATTTATAACTAAATGCTTGGACTGTACCTACTGTATGTGGCACCTACAATATGCAAATAATTTGTGCAAGTAACTTACAGGTACAAATACCATGTACATATTAACCAAATTTTTAAGACGCGGTACCAGTAGGTTGTGTACATGTAGGTTATAGAAGTTCCAATTTTGTATGAATAAATTAAAACTACTACATGTGCAAAATGAATTACATGTATACAAGCAGTGTATGCACCTACCGGTATCTTTGAAGTACATGTACATATGTCTGTTGGTGGCTAATTCAAATGAGCTTGAAATGTATGGTAAATAATACACATTTAACGTTTTTCAGACAAACACTAACTACTCTTTTCTCAATATTATGCAGACTCCATAAAGACTAATGAAAGCCATGTTTGATTCAATATTTCGTTCTTTATTCAGAACATCTTCTTCTTTTCTTTTTTTTTTTGGGGGGGTTTTTGTTTTCTGTTTATGCATGGCAATGAGGCCTACTCTACATTTGTTCTGCACTCATTGGGTCAATACAAATATGTACATGGTACCATGCACAAATTTACTGCACATGTTCACATATGTTCGGTACCTACATGTACGTGTTATGGTTCATGTGGTTCCGCTGAGACAAATACTTGAAATAAACAACGCAGTACCACTGTCAACAAGTCAGTTAAAACAAAATGAGGTTTGTTCTCTGGGCCGATACATTCCAATTTTCTTTTCAAGACAACAAATTTGGTACATACCTGAGCTGCAACAGTAGATGCAAAGACAAATTGTGAGGGGCTTATGATGGCGGCTCTTTGCTGGAGTGTAGTCTACAAAATGTTCTTCAAGTTCGTCAGGGAACTTTAGCTAGGGAATGCTAGTCCAAGATTTTGATGATAACTTGCAGCAGTTTCTCAAAATATTCAGGGTTCATTTTTCCTCTTCTTAAGCAGGACAGTCTGTCCTAAATGTAAAGCAACCAGCACTGCAGAAACAAGAAACAGGGCAGGACCACAATTTGACAGGGCGGTCTTGTGAATTTGGCCGATCGATGGAGCAGCGAGACACAACACGGGGTGCGTGTGTGTATGCAGATGGCAACCTTTCTCACTCAGTCAACTCCGGGGAGGTCGACAATGACTGTGACTCTGCAAAGACACAAACAATGCAGGAACATGTCAGTCAGTTGGGGGGAGGGAGAGAGGTTGGGGGCACCACAGGGAAAAGGGTGATTTACCGGTGTGAATGAATGAAGGAGCCATGTACATGTGTACATGTACAACAGGTCGAGTTGGTTGGGCTGTTCTCATACTTTCATGAACAGCTCACATGTAATTTGTTGTTCATGGGTCAGCGGCTCAAATGCTGAGAACGTAGGAGTACAATCGGCTGTTGCTAGTCCGAGTGGCCAGCAACATGCAACATGGCAGCATCAGGGAACCGGTACTGTTTCAGGAGTTAATGTTTGGAATTCTAGGCTGCCTTATTTCCTATTTAAAAAAAGGAAATTTGTTTCTGCGTTATGGGAAATTATTTATGTTACATGCTACTTTTACAAAACTTTTTTTTTCCAGGAAGTTTCCTGGAAAAAGAGCATTTCAAAAGGCATACTTCGTTATCTCTACCCATTTTTAATACCCTCCATGTAAGTTATGAATTTGATTGGATTGGAATTCTTTTCTACGGGCGACACAACAAAGCAAGCACTGACGGTCATGTCAGGTGTGAAATTAGACTACCAGCTACTAACAGGCTGAAAAGAAATCTTCCAACATCTTTCTCGCATTTCTCCAACACTGTAAGTACTATTAGGGTAACGTAAACATTTTTAGCCCGTCCACACATGTACATGTATTTCAAGCACATGGTACATTGTACGTACATGTACCTGCAAGAATATTCAACGTACATCTGTATCCAAACATGTACCCGTAGCATGCAGCATTTCACTTTTATCCAAGTGAAAGCGAACATACTGCGCATGACCATAGCATAAAACTTACATGTACATGTACATGTATCGACAAATGTGATGAATTCTGAAGTGTACAGCATGTTACGTTTCATGTACTGTTTGAGAACATTTTGTACAACTGTGCACGTTGGTATCAGGACATGCACACTACATACTTGGAATATATTCATTCTTCAGGTCCATACCAGGCATAATGTTACAATGCAAACATGCAGTGCAAGTACATGTATGCCTCTATATAGAAGCAAGCCCAAACAATCATGATTGGAATTCAGGCCTACTGTACATGCGTGTAATTCAATCAGACTGACACAGTGGCCTGGCATACATGTGCATGAATACAAACATGTGCATACATGTACATACCATACATGTACATGTTCCAAACATACCGGTAATACTTGTACGGCATGTGCATTGAGATCATTCTACAAGAACATGTACATGTAGGCCTACATGTACAAGAACATGCACTGTATGATATCATACAAATGCATTGAACTGCCAAACA